TTATTATTATTATTATTATTATTATTATTATTATTATTAAAAAGACAATTGTTATAAGCTTTTAAAGTTGTTTGACTATACTATTAAAACAATTTATTAATTGTTTTAAAGAAATTTTTTCATGAGATACAAAAGAAAAAGATAATATTGATGTTAATATAAATAACTTGAAACAATTGTTTATAATTATGAAATTTATATTTATTGTGAATTATTATTAGTTGGTATTAACAATAACTATTATATAATATAGAAACATATAGAATTCACTCATTAAAATGTATTAATGTGAGAAGTAAAAAATATTAATGACAAATTTTGTAACCGAAAATGGAGGGAAAATTTTAGAAGTTTTATTAAATGTTTTATTAAATGCTACATGCTAACAATTATATATATAGATTAATGTTTTGATTTCTATATTCAATAGAATGAAATTTGGGCCTGGTTTAATAATGTATCATCAATCTCTATCTCAATAGTTAATCATCAACAATTGTTTGTGAGGCAGCCTAATCATTAATTAGTCAATCTGTATTACATTTGTAATAAAAATGCATGTTTTCGTTATGAAATAGTATACTTTTGTTTATGTTTGTTTTTAGCATGACATTTCAATTTTAAAGTATGCACATATTTTGACAAATATGACTGTTTTACCATATTAGACTCACCTAACTGTGGTCTTTCTAATTATTTTGTTTATTCTATGTCATTAGAATATTTATACTTCTCGAAATGATGAGTAAAATAAAATGTATTGAAGTATAAATATCTTGAAAAATGTAAAATAACAAACTTAATACTAAATAAAAGTAAAATTAGAAGGGATGTCAAAGAAACGAGTTGTTCGTGTAATCGAGTCGACTTATTAAGGTTCGAGCTACACTGGACTCAGCTTGATAAATGAAATGACTCGATTCATTCGGTAAACTTGAAGACATAATTTATATATAACTTTCTACAAAAATTTTGTGGAGCCATCAGATGATTTTTCTTATGAAGTCATCCATCACTTAATGTATTGACACATACTCAAATTGTATTCATTGTAGGACACGTGTCAACACACTATTTGTAAATAAATATGAATGATTCGATAAACCATGTTATCGGATAATTTCATAGCAAAAGTGTAACTTTATATGGCTAAGGTTAAACTCAATCAGTTAATATTGATCTCGATTTTTGTACCAAAAAAATATTGATCTCAATTAGTTAATAACTTAATATTGACCATATGTGATGTAGCGTCAGTAACTCAAGCTGGCTAGCACACCACTCAAAGAACAATGGCCGCCTACCTAAACTTGGCCAAACCCTACTAAAACCTCAGTCATGAATTTCCTCTGCCAACCTCTCTCCACCCAAATCCGCCGCCGCTGCCACCACCACCAACTCCGCTCCCTCTACGATGCCGTATCCTCCTTAAAATGCCCCCGCGACCGCGGCCTCGACCACGCGGTGGAGCGCGAGCGCCACCTGAAACCCTTGCTCAATCTCAAAAACCTCATCATCTCGGAGCCATCCAAATCGATCCCACTCGCCCTGATAACCGAATCGAGAGAAACCCTAGGAATCCCTTTCCGCCCCATTGAGTTCATCCGAAAATACCCTTCGATTTTTCAAGAATTCTACCCGGGCTCGCTCAACATCCAGCCCCACATCAAGCTCGCCCCTGAAATCATCTCCTTGAACTCCGAAGAGAATCTTATCTACCAGCGCGTGGATTACAAGCAGGAAGTGGCTCGCCGGCTTTTGAAGCTGCTGATGATCGGCAGAATCAATAAAATCCCGATTCTTTTGCTGGAGAGGTTGAAATGGGAGCTGGGTTTGCCTCCGGACTACGAAAAGGATGTGATTCCCGATTTTCCGGATTATTTCCGGGTGGTTAACAAGAAAAGTCTCGGTGAAAGCGAGAAAATACTCGAGCTGGTTTGCTGGACCGAGGAATTTGCGGTTTCAGAAATGGAGAAGAAAGGGGCAAAAGATGGAAAGACCCAATTTTTGCTGAAGTATTCAACAGGGTTCGAGATGGACAAGAAGTATAAGAAATGGGTCGACGAGTGGCAAAAGTTGCCGTACATTTCGCCTTATGAAAATGCGATGCATTTAGCTGCAAAGACAGACGAGTCGGATAAATGGGCTGTTTCAGTTTTGCATGAATTGCTTAATATTTTCGTTGGGAAGAAGGCGGAAAGGGATAGCCTGCTTTATCTGGGAGAGTATTTAGGGCTGAGGTCTAGATTCAAGCTGGCATTTTTACATCACCCAGGGATTTTCTATCTGTCTAGCAAAATCGGGACTCATACTGTGGTTTTGAGGGAGGGGTATAAGAGGGGTGCGTTGATCGAGAGGCACCCCTTGATGGATATGAGATTTAAGTATGTTCAGCTGATGAATATGGTTCCAGATGATGAAAAGTCAAAAAGTCCGAAGAAAAGGAATGATGAGGGTAAGAAGGGCAGTGAAGGAGAAGAAGTAAACAGTACTGAGGAAGATAATGCTGAAATGAGTGAGTCGTCTGATGAAGATGAGGATGATTATGATGATGGATTTGAAGGTGAGAATTCCCGTAAGAGAAGGGGATTTAGAAGGAGAGATGAGATTGTTGAAGGGAGAGATTCTAGAAGAAATGTGTCAAGAAGGTTTAATAGGAGAACAGAGGAGAAAGGTAATTACAAGAGGGTTGAGGATAATGCTGAAATGAGTGAGTCGTCTGATGAAGATGAGGATGATTATGATGATAGATTTGAGGGTGAAAATTCACGTAAGAGAGGGGGATTTAAAAGGAGAGATGAGATTGTTGAAGAGAGAGATTCTAGAAGAAATGTGTCGAGGAGGTTTAATAGGAGAACAGAGGAGAAAGGTAATTTCAAGAGGTTTGAGGGTGGGGACGGGAGTAAAAGAGGAGGGGGATTTAGGGGGAAAGGTGAAAATTTTGAAGTAAATAATTCTAGAAGAAATGTGATGAGGAGGGCTAGTGGAAGAAGGGATGACGACAGTAATTGCAGGGGTTCTGATGTTGAAAATGCGGGTGGAAGAGGGAAATTCAAAAGGAATGGTGAAAATTTCGACAACCAGAATTATGGAAGAAATCTGACGAGGAGGCCTAATGGAAGAATTAATGGGGATGGTAATGGTAAGTATCGAGGGTTTGAGGGTGAAAATACAGGTAAACGAGGGGGATTTAGAATGAAAGGTGAAAACTTTGAAGGGAAGAATTATAGAAGAAATGTGTCGAGGAGGGAAAATGGTCGAAATAATGACGAAAATATGCATAAAAGTTCAACAAGGTTTTCAGGGAGAACTAATGCCCCTAAATTACGCACTCAGAAGTCAGATTTCTCAAGAAATAACGCTGGGATTTAGACGGTTGAATTTTGTATAATGGGCTTTTTGGTTGGAGAACAATATTTCTGATTCAACTTGCAATTTATCCAGTGTTCTTGGTTAGTTATTATGGCAGCTGACATTGTCGTTGAACGGAAAAGAAATTCACATGAGATCAATAATTCTTACTTCTGAGATTGATCTTATTTTTTGCTGTACTTAAATCACGAGTCAACATTAGTAAGCATGCATTATTCGATGAAGGCATACAAGTTCGAGTGAATATGGTATCTGATGATCTTACTGAAAAAAAAAAAGAAAAGAAAAAAGAAGTTGCATCTTCAGCTACCGACTTCGGAGCTTCTCGGAGCCGAGTTATCTGCATAACTTCGCAAGCTTAGTTGTATTCTTTGTTTTTGTTTTCGTTCACCATAAACCATATCATCTATAATCCTAGCTTTTTGGCAATAGTAAGAAGAACGTATGACCAAAAATCCTTCACAGAAAAATCCAAGTTTTCACAGTTGTGCCCTCGTGTGCATTTAGGTCTTTTTGGCGCATTTTAGTTCCTTTGCCAACATTCAACCTGTGATCCTAAGGTAGGTTCTTTAACATGTTACTATAAGCCAGCTGTATGATAATTCAATTGTTCCTTTTTTTTTTTTGGTTTGTTTATTTCATTATTGTAAATATTGGTTTCATTTGTATATGTATAAAGAATTTTACGCATTCATGTTTATTAGTTATGTGGTAACTAATTTTTTAGTAAAACCTGTGGTAATTATATTCGGATGCCTTCTTGTTCTTTTTTTTTTCATCAGTCGTCCAACATAATAATAACTAAAAAACTCAAATGTGGAGCGCTTTCACCGGCACCTTGCATCGGAGGAGAGCTGCAACTTCTGTGGTGCGAGCGAGTCGATTCTCCACGTCCTGCGAGATTGTTCATACATCAAGACTGTGTGGCTTCGGCTGCTCCCAAGTGAGGATACTGTCGCTTTCTTCCAATAGCCCCTACTGAGCTGGCTGCACACGAACCTAGCGACTCGTCGGTTGGGCGAGGTTCGAAACTAGAACAATACCTTCTCGATTCGGCTTGGCGTACTTGGAAATGGCGTAACGAGAGAATTTTTAATTACAACACACTTAGCAGCGAGGCCCGACAAGTGGACATCGTGAACTTGGTTGACTGTTATGCCCAGGCCGCCGCTGCGTACGTGAAGGTGGGGGCAGCGCTTCATGTCACACGTATGATTCATTGGTCTCCACAAGAACCGGGATGGATTAAAGTGAACACTGATGGCGCATGCGATAATCTCACGGGCCAGAGTAGTGCAGGTGGATTGCTTCGTGGTGACTCGGGTTGTTGGATCAAGGGGTTTCTTATGAATATTGGGGCCTGTTCCATTACGGGCACCGAACTGTGAGGACTCTTTCAGGGGCTTTAGCTGGCTTGGACAAGTGATACCGTCAAGTTATTGTCGAGATCGATAGTCAGTGCGTGTCGCGGATAGTGCTTAGTTCAGATGGTATGTTTGGCGATCATGACACCTTGGTTAAGGCCGTTCGGAGTTTGATCCAGTGTGAGTGGAACGTTAAGGTAGTGCATGTTCATAGGAAAACTAACTTTGCAGCAGACCACTTAGCGAGCATGGCGGCTTCTTGCCCGCTTGGGTTGCAGAGGATGTCCTCACCTCCTCTTGGACTTAGCACATGGCTTGACCATGACATTATTGGAGTTTCGTATCTCTGTATAATTCTAGCCTAATTCAAGCCTTTGACCTCCTTCGTACTGAAGAAAAAAAAAANNNNAAAAAAAAAAAAACTTAAATGAGTACAATGGGGGTGCCAAATGACCAAAAAAAAACCTTGTAATTCCAGATGAATACAAGGAGTATAATTCCGTCGAGTAGAAAACCACAAAAACAAAACAAACTTCAAAAGGAGGCTAAAAACTCCGTGATGAAGGAGATTGAAGTCGGACGAAGCTGGACTATCGAAACGAGAAAAAGAAAAACAGTATAAATAAACTAAGACCTCCCCCTAACTTAACAGGGGACCCCTACAACCTCCTAAACTGACAACCGAGATGCACCCACAACATCAAAGCCCAAACGCAAACTCCAAGATAGAGAGGAGAAGCTCTTGAGACTGAACACCAACGACTCGATAGGTACCCAAAGCTGAGCACCATAGGTACCCAAAGCTGAGCAGGAGGTGGAGGCGGAGTTGGAGGCCGGGGACCCCTCTGGGGTTGGAGGAAAGGCGGGACGACGAGGACCGACGCCGGCCAAATTCCCACCGACCACCGGAAGGGTAGGGAATAAGGTCCCAGACGCAGCAGCGACTCGGCCTTGACAGAGAGGAGGACGGCGGCCGAATGTTGTTTTGTGGATTGCTAAACTAGGAGGTTTTTCTAGTGACTTAAAAGGTCGATCTAATCCAATCTCTTGTATATGTAGTATTTTTTAGTGTGTTTATCGTATTTTTCGTGTGGGATATATCCTTGTCGTAATGAGCATTCTCCTTTATGAGGCTAAATTAGAAGTTTGATCAGTCAAAATTTCTAATTTGATTCAAAAAGTTATTTTCAAAAAAAACTTAAAATATGAGCTTCCGGAGAGAATTGTAAAGGTAAATGTTTTTACATATGAAACAACTAATCGCTTACCAAATACTTATGGCATGATAAACTTAGACAAGAGTCAAGACTATTAATTCAATCATAAACTAGTCAAAACTATTAATTCAATTGTCTTGTGATGAGCAAAAAACACCCTAATAAAATAATAGTAGGATTGGATATGCAAACTGCTCAAGGTAAATGCCAAAAAGAAAAATTTGGGGGGAGAATATTAAGGTTATAAAAAGAAAAAGCATGAAAAAATAGTGATGAATATTTATTGATAAAGTATAGTTGTCCAAGATAGTTATCTCATCGTCATCATCTTTACGGATGCTTAAAAAAAAAATTTTGTATCCACAGACTCAAGTGGTAAGCAGCTTGATGTCTCAAGTGGTAAGCAACTTAATGTCGTTTAAGCAAGGTCTCGGATTTAAGTCCTTGTGAATGCACAAAACTCCTGTTGGGAGACTCACCCAACAATGCTAGGTGTACGACCTAAATCGACCAACGAGTTTTTTGGAACAAAACTACAGATGGTTGACTAAAAAAAAAAAGAATAATTTTATGCAATTTTGAGGGAAGTTGTTTGCTTGCACCTCTCTTTTAAGTTGCTTAAGTTTGAAGCTTATTCCAATCCCATAATGTTCGATCCTTACACGTTTTCTAGACAAATATTTACCCAAAAGAAGCTTTTTGCCCCCATATCTTTAGCAAAAAGAAGAACCTCCCAACAACAAAATATTTCTTTTTCTTGCACTTTTTTCAAATTACAGAATTGATCAAGAAAATTACGCAACAATTTGTAGCGGGGGAATTTTTTTCAAAATTCAAGTCTCTTAGCATGACCAATGCACAACTATTTACAGACCAAAGTCCAAACATCAACAAAGATTCAATAAAATTAATTCAACAAAAACACAAGTGAAAACTTAAACAAGAACCAACATTTATGCAATCATCTATTACAAAACAAACACTTAATATGATGTCTTAATACACACGCACATTCTCCGGCGGCACGAAGCTCTTGAGGCTCACGAGGCTCGGCACGTGCCGGATAGCCTCCATGCTGTTGGGCCCCTTCGGCTGGTTCAAATCCACCCCCTCGACCACTTTGCTCCTCGCCGAATAGCGAAGCATGAAAAAATCGCCCCACACGATCAACAAACTCCCGTCCTCCAACTCATCGATCACGTGAACCATCTGAAAAGATGGGCCCACGAGGCCCGGCATTGTTTTCCCGATCACGATCTTCTTCTCCCACGACTTCCCCACCCCGTAATCCCCCATAATCCAAATATCGATGTCCCAATCACCCGTGTTGTCGCAAAGAGCCAAACAGCCCCTTAACACTCCCAAGCTCCCCCAAATCCCCTGCCCCCCACCGCCAAGAAACGGGCTCGGAAAATGCTGAACGAACCCCTCGGTTTCGAGGTCGAAGCACGAGATCAGCTCGAAGCCCTCGAGATCATGGACGAGCCAATGAACGTTTCCATGAAGAAAAACCCCGACGAGCCGACTGTTGTAGACGAAACGGACCGGAGGCCCGATAACCGTTTTCCAGGCCCGATCGCGAAAACCGAAGACTTGGCACGAGGAAAACGGGACCCGCTCGCAGGCCCGGTTTCTAGGGTTGAGCTCGCGACCGTGTAGAATTCGGACGATTTTGTGTTCGCCGGTTTTGGCGGAGAACCCGAAACCGTGAGTCACGGCCATCGGGTAGCGGACGAGCCCGTCGGGCCGCGGGAGCTCGAAATACTCTCGCGTGAACGGGTTGCAAACGAAGAGGGTCTCGTGGGCGTAGTTTATGTCTCGTAGGAAGAGGAATCCGTTTGACGAGCCGTCGATGACGATGTCGGAGTCCGGGAAAGGGCTGATTCCGGCGAAGGTGATTTTTGCGGCGGTGGGTTTTTTTCTCCGGGAATGGTGGAAATCGAGGAGGTTGAAGTGTTTTTCGAACATGGTGGAGTGGTGGACGATTAGGCAGGGGCTTGACAGGGAGAAATGGAGGGATATAAAGTAAGGGGTGGTGATGAGTTCGAGCCACGTCTTGCAGACGGATTTGCAGGCGGCGAGGGATTTGGCCGGAAGGCGGGCGAGGATCTCGACGAGTATGTTCGCCGGAAGGTTCATCAGGAGAAGACGGTTTCTCATTGTATGCGTGTTTGTGTGTGTGTGTGTGTGTTTTTTTTTCTTGTTTTTATGATGATTTGGTGTGAGATGGAAGTTGAAACAGGGGAAAAGTGTGTGTGTGTGTGTGTGTTTTTGGTGTGGATTGGACTTGGCAAGTGAGGTTTAAATAGGGAAAGGGTTTAAGGGGAATTATATTACGAAGGGAAGTGGTTTGAAATTGAATTAAAAGGGAAGTAAATCGGTTGGAGAGTGTCTAATCTAACTATGTAAATAGTTTATAGTTAGAGGGTTGGTGGTTAATTTGCAGTTATGGTCCTTTAATTGTGGGAGTCAGTATAGTGTGTATATCTCATAATATATGTGAATTTTATCATATTTATTATTCTAATTAGTATTTGGTCTTGTGTATTTGTATAAATCTAAATAAAATACTGTGAGTTATTTGTAGGTATATAATGATTAATTCTTTTTCTTTCACTTTTTGCTGGCCAAATTTACAATTATAGGGTTGAAATATTTTTTTTTTTTAAATTGAATTTATTTGATTGGATTTAATGTATATTTTGGTATGTCTTTTTTTTGTAAATTATTTATTATTTATTTAGGAATTTCAAATACGTTTTTATTTAAAAAAATAATTATTTAAATGTAACTACAATAATTATATGTAATCACATTATATGGTCAACTGTCAGTAATCAAAAGTTTACAATGATTTTTATAATTTTGAAGTGATTAGTGTTGATTACTTAATATTTAAATGAAAGATTGAATAAACGGTAATATTTTTGGAAGAAAAGAGTTAAATTGCTACAGATAAAATTAAATAGGTTTTATTAAATACAATTAGCTATCAATTATATGTTATTATTATTATTATTATTATTATTATTATTATTATTATTCTTATTATTATTAGTATTATTATTCTTTATTTATTTTTAATGTTGTTTTTTAATGAAGCGGTGATGTGATCTATGTTTTAAACACGTTTGGCGTAACGTGGCAGTTCTACATCATGAGAGGGTAATTAAATTATATGTTCTTTAAACTATTATTGGCTTGCCCGATTGCCACGTTGAGCTCTTTGCCTTGGTATTGTGAATAGAGATAACTATTTGGTTCATGCATAAGTCGTGCGATGTATGGATAAGTAATATGAATAATAATTATAAATTAATAATATGGAGAAACAATATTAACTATAATTTTATAAATTAAATATGTAGAGTTAAATGTGATAAAATTTACGGTATATAGTCTACTGAAAAAATATAAAATTATCTTGTATAAAAAACATAAAAAAAATATATGTTTAAGATATTAAAATTGAGAAAAGATTTACATATTATATATAAAATAAATATTGAGATGATACAGAAAATTATTAATCATTATTTTGAGTCTATAAATGAATATTGTAACAATTCCACGTCCACGCGCTTAATTTATCAATTGTATATAATGATTTTTATTTATTTAGACGTTTAAAAAGAACGGAGGCATAACAATTCCACGCTTTATGCATACGCTTTTTATTTATCAAATTTATATAATGATTTTAAAATCCGTTATTAAGATTTTTATTGAAATACGTATAAGAACATTAGTTTGGCATCGTCCGAAAAATTGTAGTGTTTTCTAGAAGATTTCTTGTTAAGCAAACAAAATAAATTAAAGGGAAGTTTTTCTGTTTATTTATTTGTGATTTAATTAAGTTCATAATGTTTATTATTAATAAAGTATGGAATATATTCATTGTAGTATGTATTATGGAATCCTAATCATTTAGGAGGAGGATTACATAATATATATCTTATATATTTACTTACCATATATGCCACATGCCATAATTACTTCTCTTTTTCTTGTAGGACAAGGAATAGGTGTCATGGACTATGAAATGATGAGCTATCCATACAAGAAGAGTTTTGGACGTTCATGAGAAGATCTACGGAGGATTTGGAAAGATTCACCACAAGATCTTTGAAGATTTGGAAGATCGGCTATTTTTGGAAAGTCATGTTCTTACCCGATTCTGGGAATCAAGATTTCTATTGGAAGCTCAATTCTAAAGATCTCCAAATTACATACACGAATTCCACATCAAGGAAACTTACTTTACATGAAGGATTTCGTCCAAATCAGAAAGAAATCAATTGAGAAGGAAATTGACTCCTAAAACAAAAAAGGAAGAACTTGTGAAAACTCCTTACCTTAAGGAGATTGTATATAAGCCTACTGTAACGCCCCACTTTTATTTGCCAAAATTCAGGATAAATTTTTCAAAATTTATCTTCAAATACAATATTTGAGGCGCTACTTATTCTCAAATCAATATTCAATACTTATCAATCATCAATACTCATTCATTAATAATCAATAATCCCAATAATCAATAATCCAATCTAAGCACTCCAATAATCAATATATCCTAGGGAGTACACTCCCTATCAATACTCCATCATTCAA